AGACCCAGGACACGCTGGAGGGACTATGTCTCTCAGCTGGCCTGGGAACGCCTTGGCATTCCCCCGGAGGAGCTGGAGGAAGTGTCTGGAGAGAGGGAAGTCTGGGCATCTTTGCTTAGACTGCTGCCCCCGCGACCCGGTCCCGGATAAGCGGAGGAAAATGGATGGATGGGAAAATTTTCGTTTTTCATTTAGTATGCATAATAATTCTGCACACTAACAGTACACACATAGACATTCTCCTAAGAAAGCCAAAACCTCACATTTACTTTCTTAAATGTTCAGGTTTGAGGTTTATTAACATTTTGGACTGATCGAGAGCACTGTAGTTGTTCAATTATAAAATTAATCCTCACAAATACAACTTGCCTAATAATTGTGCATGCAGTGTATACCTGATGAAAAATTATCACAGTTTTTGTTGCAAAAAAACTGTAAGCTTGGTTTGATAACTGAACTTTTATAAAGGAAACAGGTAATAGTCCCTGTGTCTGCCCATTCATTAGCGGAATGTCATTTTCAAAGTATGAAAACGCTACTGTATAACTCTCAAAACTGTAATTACACTGTTTTCCTCTGACCACTTATCAGTATGGTGTTGCACTTACAGTATTTTAACATGCTGCATTTGCTGTCAGGGTTGTGTTTGCTTGACAAATATACAGTACACAATATCTGTATCGTTAGGTTACAGAAATGCTGACTCCATTAGATGGAGGAACTCTATGCAACAGGCCAACACCTCAGAAGGGTAACACATCCCTGCTCTGTACTGCAGGGCTTTCTGTCGAGTCAAGACGCAAGCATAAAATGCTTGCAAATCAGATTCCACTCAACCTGTGTCACCATGACAACACAACTGTGAGAATTATAGGGAAAACTGTTGGTTGGGGATGAGGCGAGATATGCTGAAAGACTGAGCAGCCACACACTGAAATACTTTTTTAAATAGAAAAATAAGATATAAAACAAACATGATACATGTAATGCAAAGTATTGTGAGAAAACAACAACCTACAGTGCATACCCACCCTTTTTTCTTTGTTATGCTTGTAAAACTGGTTCAAGAAATGTGGAGGCTATAGAAAATAACAACAATATTGCAGCCAAAAGCCACACCTAAAATCTGTGGAAGTCTTTTCATCTTCTCTTCTTTATGCTTTTATAAATAACTGATGTTGCAAGTAGCCTGACAGGCACAAATAGAGGTGTTTGTCCATAGTCCTTTCATAATCAGCCAGCACCCCTGTGATCATTATTACAGTATGTAACTTAGATGAGTCACATAATGCTAACAACACCTGTCTGCTGGCCTTATTCAGCTAGGCTTCTTGCAGTAATACACGATTGAGACAGGATTTAATGCACATAACTGTATTTGACAGACATGAACAATTATACTGTGGATGTTTGCACCTGCACCAAAACAAATGAGAGAGAGAAATTCAGTAGCTACTTCTCACTCTTTTTCTGCTTTGCTCTGAGCTCAGACAAAGACTTTGTTCATGGCTGGATAAGGAGGCTACAGGATTATTATGTTGGTGTTTCACAATTGAAGCAATAACACATTTTTGTCGGTGTCACAGTTACATGGCAGATGACAAACAAAGAACTCAGTAAGTTGTTCAAGGTATTCAACGCTCATTCCCGAATGAATCAGACAATTAGAGGAAAGAAATGCTGAAGTAGGATTTTTACTCTGGTTGATCAATAACAAAGACCCTCAGGTTCATTGAGGGGGGTCAGAAACTCGTGCAGGAGAAAAGAAATTATATTATTGCAAAGTCTACTACCCTTATACAGCAGATCACATAAAGACACTGGGTGATATTTTGGGAGCAACATTGTTTATATTTATGTACTTCCTCTTGATAAAAAAGTGTGATATTAGTGGCAGTTTTTCCTGGAAAATAAAAAAATGTAAAGACAATTCTGTAACATTCAAGATAATCTTCATCATGTGTTCAAATGTACAAAATAAGCTGTATGATTTGTGGTTTAGGACAGGTTTTTTCCTTTAGTACCAACATAATCATGTGATAGACAATATACTTTATAGTTTCTGTGCAGTTTACCATCTCAAATGCTGACTGTATGTGTACAGTGTCATTCATCACTCACACACAATTTACAGACAATGTAACAGAATGAAGTTAATGAATCATCAGCAGAAATTCGGCAGGGCCACATATCGATATGAACCAGGACATCATCTGCTGTTTAATAGTTGGTTCCCAATGATATGCAAGAGCAGGACTCAAAGAGGTTTCAGTTTGGACTCAGTTCAGAGCTGCAGTTCTCAGCTTCCTGTGGTGTGTAGGCAGTTCAACAGAAACAGGCAGGCACACCGAACCTGGTGGTCAAGAGGAGAAATAGTACCTGTATTGTGAATCAGGAAAAAAAGAATAGCCTTTTCTCCTGTTCTAACTCTGTTCTGCTGTTCTACAAAGATGTATTTAAAGTCTCCAAAAGCATGGATAAGTTTCTTATTGCACTGCAGCCAAGTTGTGTAAATGTTTGTTTATAGGGGATACCATAAAATTAATTACAGTCAAAAATTATAAGTTGACTTACTGCTATGGTAAAACTTATGATATAGTCATTCCTGGGGATGTTGTGACTGCTGTTAAATGGAGCACTCTTACAAATTCTGGGTCCCTTGAAAACAGTGCACTGTGCTCCCACTGTGGTAAAGGGTCATTACTATTTTTCCATCCAAGCATTTTTTACTTATATACCACTTCTGACATGTGTTGTTTCCATTATGTTATTTTTCAAAGTAAACATTTTGCAAGAAGCTCCTGCTTTTAACACTGGTAGAACTTGTAGGCTACGTTTGGTTGAAAGAGCACAAATCTTGCTACAGTCTTTTTCACTTTATAAAAGAATTTTACATCGTTTTCAGAAAGTGGTAACGTAAACGTAAACATTAAGAGAATCTTTAATTTTAATGTGAAAATTGTGACATCAATTTGCTTTAGCTATCACTTTACATATTCTTTATGTACACGCTTCAGCAGCAGCAGGAGTCAGGATTGCACCACAACGTCGCACGTCAGCTACAGTGAAACTTGTAGTAAAAGAAGAGTCAGTGAACGTAGAAGAAGCAGCAGCGCGTGATTCCAGTTAAGTAGGAGCAAGATGGCGGTTGTGGTACGGAGCTTGCAGGACCAGCTTGAAAAAGCCAAGGAAAGTTTGAAACATGTGGACGATAATATTCGTAAATTAACCGGACGTGACCCTAATGAGTCGAGGTAAGAAGCCAGAGTTTAACTTGTGGCTAATGGCTAATGATATACTAACCAACTTGCTAGCGTTAAGTCGATTCCATAATGCGCTAGCATGAGTCAGTTAGCGCTAGCAGATATTCCAATGTAGCGTCAGATTTTGTGCCCGCTTGATCCATATAAACTCACCCTACGTCCAAATTGATAAATTGGCCACACAAAGTTTTAAATAAGACTGGAATTAATTGCTCAATCTTTGAGCTACCTATCAAACCTATAAGAACGGCTATTGTTAACGTTAGGCCTCGTAGTAGGCGTCGTCCGTTTCACCAGAGGTTTATCTGAGTAGTAATGCAAATGGATCTGCTCCTAACAGTAACGTTAACGAAAACATCATCTTTCTTTAGCAATTGATGCGTCTTACCAGAACTATGGTCTTGCTTTTCCTTTGACTGTTTTTCATGCTGTGTTTACAGACCGGGCCAGATCCGCCGGCTTGGCCCCATGGCAGGCCTCGGTGGAGGTAGGGGTAGAGGAATCAATCTGCTCAGGTAAAGCTGAAGTCTAGATGGTTAAATATAGTTTTTAATTTTCATTTACACATTGACAGTCAGTAGCTGCTGTGATATGCCCTGCATACTGTACTCTCTAAACCAGGGTGGGCAATTTCCTTCCTCAAGGGCCTTTTCCCACTATCCCTGCCCTCCCCACTGCTGATTACCTGGATCAGGTGTGCTCAGTCAATCAGAAGCTGGAAAATGCCTTGTTAGATGAAGGTCGAGTGAGGAAAGACAAAGTGAGTTGGTATCTTTCAGTTTCTGATTGACTGAACAGCATCAAGTGCATGGCTCAATCATTTACAAGTGACATCGCTAAAGTCTTGAGGGTTCATGGCTTGAGACCTTAGGGTGGATGTTCGGATTGGCCCTTGGATCCAGCTTGTGACTCATGTATTGGGAAAAGATGGCAACAGGGAATGACAATGTCAGTCCGGCATTGTCTGAGACCAGCTCGACTTCATTAATGTATTTAAACATTTTCAATAATTTCATCTAATGTCATTTTATGTTGCCATCTTTTCTAAATGAAAAGAAAATGCATGACCCAAGAAACTGATTAGTTATATATTTCCTGGATGGCCCTGGGTTATTTTTGGTTCCTTATCATTAGAAGAGTTTTTAATTCGTAATTTGCAAAATTGTTTCACATTGTGATTACATTTAGATTTTCTCATTTGCATAATTGATAGTTGACTACATGTAAAGCAATTTTCTAGCACCACAAGCTGCAGCTTCTGAAATGACAATAATATTGAAGACAAAAATGCATCATATTTTTCATGACTTTAGGATTAATTACATGGAGACAGACTATTTGGGCTTATGAATGTGTTTAATTTATGATTTTAAAGTCCCTCTCCCCCTTGCCAGGCGTAGTCTCTCAGACATGGGAAGCGGCGGCCCTCCTGCCAAGCAGAGGGACATTGAAGGAGCCCTGCTGAGGTGAGATCTTTTTTTTTTTTTTTTTTTTTAATTAATACATAGATTTTTTTTTAAATTTGTTTTATTCATTCAAGCATG